AGAGTTTCCCTACATCTTTTACAAACAACCAGTTTTAGTTAATATATATTGTAGAATATTGACGTGGAATATTAAGGTTTATTTATACTAAGGCTTGATTAAAAACATGAAATTTGATAGCGCAACATAGTTTCGAGATAGTGGTCGGTAATGAACGCAAAGGTGGGAACTTGTATGTACTTTTGCTTTTCTTATCTTCAACTAAAATCTGACTAATTCGTCCATTTGTTTTTGACGCCACAAGAATCGAATGATTTTCTGATTTTTTTTCGAGTTTTAATTGTGAATTTATGGTGGTACTATAAATTATCGAATAAATAATATTATTCATAATTATTCAATGGATAATAACTTGTCTCTCTTCTTAAACGAATTCCGAATTCCTTTTTTTTTACTATGCTGATTTGGTTGTAAACCTTTTTGTTCCTTCATCTATTTCAGTTTTTAACATGTTAAGAAGGCGTTTATTATTTCACAAAAAATGTTATCTCATTAAATACAAAAGTATAAAAAGGTACGCCTGAACAAATTAACTGTTTATTTGTTTGTTTATTTGCAGTACAACATAACACCATTCCACGCAATTCCTAAAGGCCAAGAAAATCTTATGTATTTCATGCAAATACCAGCTCAAACCTCTTTCGGCACTAAAATAATTTTTACCAAATTTTTAGACTGTATTAGTAATAATAAGTTGTAAGAAAAATCAAATGAATATTTTTTCAGGAAATATTGTCTAACGTTAGTTCGACAATATTTCTCTGCTGCACTCCACCCGAGAGTCTCTTAATCTGCGAAGATTTGAATTTAGATAAGGATATTAGCAACACGACAACAACTACTGTAACAACTTCTAAAGAAAAATCTAAAAGAAGTACTTCTTCTTCAGGTGCCAAGCAGATTTCTGCGTGGGCGTTCATCGCCTTCTTATCAGATGGTTCTGTTAATTGCAGCATTCTGTAGCGTTTGGAAGTCACTTATCCCTGTCCATTGTCGGATATTTCTTAGCCACGATAACTTTCTTCTGCCTATTCCCCTTTTTCCTCCTTCAATTTTACCTTGAAGAATGAGACGCTGAAAGTGGTATCGCTCTCCTCGGATTATATGTCCGAGATAGCCTGTTTTCCTTTTCTTGATGTTCTCGAATAGTTCTCGCTCTGCCAGGCCGGCTCTTCTTAGGATATCCTCATTCCTCACGTAATCGACCCAAGACACCCTTAACATACGTCGTAGAATCCACATTTCGAAAGCCTCAATTTTGTTGATGGTTTGTGCCCTCAGTGTCCATGCCTCGACACCATATAGGAGGACGGACCAGACATAGCATTTCACCATTCTATATCTGAGGCCAAAGTTCAAGTTCTTGTCTGTAATGAATTTTCCGAGCCTCAAAAAGGTTGTCCTAGCCTGCTCGATCCTACATCCTATCTCTTGATCCGGGTCCCATCCTTTATTGATCATGCATCCCAGGTATTTAAATTGTGTGACCTGTTCGATGTTTTCTTCATTGATATGTATTCGCGCATTAGGAATATCGCTCCTACTAACGATCATAACCTTGGTTTTTCTGATGTTAATTTTTAAGCCTAATATTGTGCTTTCTTCATTGACCTGCGTTAGCAGACTCTGGAGATCCTGTGCATTGTCTGCCAATATCACGGTGTCGTCTGCGTACCGGATATTGTTGATGGGGATTCCGTTTATCTTGATACCAAGAGGACTACCCGAGATGGACTCGGAGAATGCCTTTTCTACGTATAGGTTGAATAGCATGGGGGACAGGATGCATCCTTGACGAACGCCCTTTTTGATTTCGAAATCTTCGGTTGTTCCAGCGTTGCTCACTCGAACCTCCGCTCTCTGGTGCCAGTACAGATTACCGATCAACCTTATATCTTTTCCATCTAGTCCCAGTTCTCCAAGGTATGTCATCAGAAGGTCGTGTTTAACGTTGTCGAACGCTTTCTCGTAATCGATGAAGCACATAAAGACATCCTTTCTTTGATCCTGGCAATTTTGGACCAACGTCTGAAGACTGAATATGGCTTCTCTAGTTCCAAACCCGCTCTTGAATCCGAACTGACTAGCCCCACTCACTTCCTCACATTTCCGATAGAGCCTTGTGTGAAGTATTCGGAGAAAAAGTTTTAGAAAATGGCTCATTAAACTAATGAGACGATAATCCTTACATGATGTTGCGCTGTTCACCTTTGGCATTGCAACGAACGTAGAGCGGAGCCAATCCGCTGGGAAGTGTCCGGAATCATAGATGTCATTAAAAAGTGTCATGATCTTTTCCAAGTTTTGTTCGCTGACTAAATGAAGCGTGTCTGAGAACATATCGTCGGGGCCCGGAGCTTTGTTATTTTTCATCAGCTTGATGGCATGTGTGACTTCGCTCCTCAGTATGCTCGGTCCTGAGAGAGTAGATATCTCTATTGGGGGATTATCTGGTCTATCGTCGTTGAAAAGACGAATTGTGTATTCTTTCCATACCTGCAGCAATTCCTCAGGTTCTGTCACTATTTCATTGTGTTGGTTTTTAATGAGGCTAAGCGGTCTGTTGTTGTATAACCCCGCTATTTCTTTTACTTTTTTATGAAGGTGAAAACTATCCCCAAGCCTGCAAAGGCCTTCGGCCTCTAGGCATCTTTCATGTAGCCATTTCTCTTTTGCCGCTCTGATCTCATTTCGTATTCGTCTTTGAAGAGCTCCATATCTGTTGTAATCGTTCTGGGTTTTACATTGCCTTCGTTCCTCCATCAGTTTTAGGATATCTTCGGTCATCCACTTGTTTTTACTTGTTGTTTTTTCTTTCAAGAGAAACTTTTGGTTTGTGGTTGTAAAGGCTCGCTTGAGATCGAGCCAGTACCTGTCAGTGTCGTTGGTGTTGACAACGTTTTCTAGTTCTTTATTAAGATGGTCCTCATATGATAGTCTTGTTTTTTCAACTTTTAATTTTTGTAGGTCGAATGTCTTCCTAAGGCTCTTTCTCTTAGGTTTAGCTAGATGTAGAACAATGTTGGCGCACACCGGGTTGTGGTCTGATGCGATATCGGCACCCGGCATTGTAGAAATTTTGGTGATTTTGGTAATTTCGAAACCTTCTGTTAATTATGATGTAATCTATTTGATTTCGAACAACGTGATAATTATTGTCTTGTGGGGATTTCCAGGTGTATAGTCGTCTTGCCGGGAGTTTGAACCATGTGTTTGCGATCATAAGATTGTTTTCTTCGCAGTTGTTTCTCTCACCCAAACCCCAGTCGCCAACCACTGACCCCGTCCTGCCCCTGCCAACTTTGGCATTAAAATCTCCAAGAATTATATTTATTTCATTAGTCCTTGTGAGTTTCAAGGCCGTATCTATTTGTTTAAAGAAGTCTTCGACTTCTTGTTCAGGTTTGTCTGCTGTCGGAGCGTAAACCTGGATAATATTGATGTTTAGAGGCTTGCCAAGTATCTGGACGAGAGCCACTCTCTCGGAGATTGGGACAAAGCACTTCATAGATTTCTGCAGATTCTCGTTCATCAAGATACCAACACTGTGTTGATTACGATTAGCATTGTCACCAGAGTAGTAGAAGACTTTTCCTCCTGATTTGACCATTCCACTTCCAGGCCATCGGACCTCACATACTCCAAGGATCTCTATTTTCATTCTGTCCATTTCTTGAATCAAATTATCGAGCCTTCCAGCTGCAAATAATGTTCTAACATTCCAGGTCGCTATTTTCGTTATCTTATCCAGTTGGAACCGGGGGATTCTTCGCACCTCCTGACCATTTAAGGTCTGCCCGGGACTGGAGGCCATTTGTGTTTGAGCTTCCAACATGATAAGAGTTTATCGGATGAATATCCTGGGGATATCTAGAGAGATCTTTAATGCAGTGGTTTCCCGTTGCCTTCTGCATTCCCCTGCCGTTGACCATCTGCTGGTTCTTCCGCCTTTGAAACGATTTCTCATTTCTGGGACAAGAGAGTGCCCCGACTCCTCTCAGTTCTTCCACCCGAAGCTGTTGACCGACAGGGGGGGACTGCTTATACCGGCAGTCATTCGGTGCTTTGAATTTACCCCTAGAAGCCTAGGTTGCCACTTACGCCGATTCCGCCGAATCGAAGCTTTCTTCTTCGCCTTCACTGCCGGTGTGGTCTTCATCCGTAACCCTGGACAAGGGGCCCTTACAAGGTGCTATCAGCCGGGGCCAGCTGAACCTAGGTTTTTTAGCGAGGTGTTACTTCTCGATCCCTCCTCCTTCCTTGCCCCTTGTGTGGCAAGGCCCCAGGCTTGGGACTGGCATAGCGGAGTTAAAAGAAGTACATTTTGTTACTATTGCGAGACGGAGGTCTTAAATTTTCCTAGACATAACGAAATAAACCATAAATCTGAAATTAATGTAGAAAAAAAAAAAAGCAAAGCAAAGACAAAAAAAATACTCTTTGCTTTAAGAAAGAAAGGAAATTAGCTGCAGAATAGTACCGATATTAGTAAACCAGTTAGAAAAGGTAACGAAGATACAAATTATTTACCATGCGTACATTTGCCTACGATATTATTCGTCTAAAAATGTATGGTGACCTCGCAAAAATCCAAATATAGGTAATATAGGTAACTGTAGACTATTATTACTGTTCTCTTGTACAGACTTCTCCTCCAAAAAGCAATACATTGCTTTTACCTGATTTTCTAATATTTACAATTCTTTAAGACCCTTGGAAAGCTTTCAGGATATCGGCAAAGTTTTTTTAATAAAATATGTGTTACACTCTTTACTTCATGATACACTAAAACAGACTATGAAATAAAGCTCTAGTTTAAACAAGTTTTAAAATGCCTACATATTGAGCACACAAGATAATGTGGACATTTATTAGAAGTCGAGAAAAATTACCTTTTAAAAAATTGACAAAAATTAGTTTTATTTTCTCAATGTTATAATCTGACTGTTCCAAATTAGTTCCAATAAACACTTGTTTACTTATGTCTGAAAAACTCTCTGATCTTATAGCTTCGAAAATTTGTTCGATATACTAATTTGCCTCTATGGATACAATCTGCAAAAGAAAATTAGGGAATGGAGCATGCGTCAAGAGTCTTAAGAATAATTCTATTTAAACACGGTGATTTTATTCGTCAATGGCTAATAAGGCTAATTCATAAATACTATTTTTTTATTCTTTCTGTAGGTTATATAATATTATTTGCTTTTTCAGTTTTTTACTTTATATATGTACAAAAATTTCAAGTTTAATGCTCATTATAATAATTTGAATTAAACCTTCATATAACATGAAAAATGTATGTTTTTAATTTATTAGCTTTCTGTAGCCAATTTAGCCTCAGCATAAACGAGCGATAAATTTTCATCTGTTGGATTCATTAAAACTGCTGTAAAAGCAGGTACAAGTTCAGTTTCCAGTGCTTCAAGACTTACCAGGCAACTCTGTATTTTTACACCATCTGAAAAAACAATTTTATATTCTTTTGACTTCAATATTTAGTAACCTAAAAAAAAATATTACACTCTTCATGGGTCTTGCCTGTAATAGAAATGATAAATTTAATATTCATCAAACTATATTCCTACCATATGTAAAAGAGCAAGAAACAGCAAACAATCCAATCCGAGCATCTAACTTGTTCATATTATGCCTGTTGCTGTTATTTGAACAGAATGTCGCAATGTGAACTGTGTATTCTAAAAAGACCTGCAATGCTAATTTTAGTATTGTGTTATTTATTCTTTCCAGGGAACACAAACGGTCGTTGCAAATGGGGAACACTGAACACAAATTTTTATTTATGTTGTTTTGCTTTTAAACATTTTTCTGTGATTTTTATATGAAGATACAGTAATTTAGAAAATTGGTAAGAACAGGAAGCCCCAAATAGGATAGTCAAACTACAGGTGTTCAACAACCTGCTATTGGTGGGTTCAGTTAGCGATTTCATTTAAGTTTTGTTCATATTTTATTTAACGCCTCTAAAAATATCTACTAAGCAGTAGGCAGTAGCTATTTTAGAATAGGCCTCCAGATTAACAAAATTCATCAAGTAATTTAAAAGCCGCAATTAAATTAAAGAAAAAAAATAAAAGTATTTATTAAATAATTTATAAAAACGTAAAGTAAGAGTTCATTTTAAAAAACTAAAGTGGAATGTTTTTACAGTATCAAAAAAAAAAAAGAAATAATTAAGTTACAGGGGTGGGTTGAAAATATGTTTATGTGTAGTTTTCTCCAATAGGTTTCCCCTCTAGAAGTTCGTGTTTTCTTAAGTGTCTCCTTTCATTCTGCATATAAAACAGGAGTTCATACTGTTGGAGACGCACGAAAAGAAATCCGCCGTTTTTTATCCTATCCTGCGGTCTTACCCGGACCGATCATATGTGTGAAAGTTGGTGCTGTTTTAAGATTTTACTAAAGGTTTTGTTTTTTGCTGCCGATTTGTTCGGAAGGAACTTTGACGACGTTTTCGATATGTTTTAACAAGTAGTCGTGCATAAGATTTTGATGAGGCGCGGTATGTTGCATTTTGTTGGGCGTATTCTTTGTGTTTTCACTAATATAGTCATTACCGAAAGTTAATTTGTATTATTATTCGAACCTAGTTACGCGGATAAGACCGGGTAGGTTTTTCGTAAGCGTGACGCGACACATACCATCTGTGAACTGCCCTTAATAATTTTGCTGTCTTAATGCAACTTGGGCGATTGACGACCCAATACATCTTCAAATATAAAATTACTTGACTTTACTAAACTTTTTTGTAATATTAAAACATCAATGACTCCATCGAGGCAGTTGATAAGGTTCTTTTTGAAAAAAATACCTAGATTGCTGTTAAATTAAATTAATTGAATGGGTTTCTGCAAAGTAGAATGTAGAGTTGTATCAATCGCGATTGATTCGGTCACTTTCATTCAATCACTTCATAGGATCGAACGACCCAATCCCGCTTGTTCGTAACGATTCGATCATCTTGTTCGCTCGCACTGCCGCCTTGACCGGTCTGAAGTGACCGAATGCAGGACGACCGATCGACCGACCGTACCAAAACAAATCGAATTCGCCTTGCGGAATACTATTCATTTGAATGGAAGATTTAAATGGATGACTCAGACAGGTCACGGAAAAGGAATGGGAGTATTGTTATAATTATTCTATAGTATTGAGTGGCAACATCGATTGGTACATTTGCTTATGTGTTGGATTGAATATTGTATGAAATATCTATTTCCACACAGGTATTTAATTTAAACAAATTAATGTATTACTGGTACAACCCAATATGCAATGCAATAAAAAGCAGAATACAACTAAATATTATACTAACTAGAACAGAAAACAAAACATAGACACAACAATAATTCAAATTGAAATGAATCTGAATCGGTCGTTCGGACAGTTCGGATTCAGTGACTATTGCCGCTTATGTTGGCATCAAAAAGTATTGAAATGAACGATTGATTGAAATGATTCGGTCCTTTTCGAAATCGGTCACTGATTGATTCGGTCCTCGTAAAATGAACGATTGACACAATACTAGTTGGCAACAAAAAGTATTGAAATGAACGATTGATTGAACTGATTCGGTCCTTTTTGAAATCGATCACTGATTGATTCGGTCCTCGTAAAATGAACGATTGACAACACTACCTAATACACACTTCTTCGAACCGGTCGGTCAGTTTCTTTCTATTTTTACATCGCGATTGAAAAAATGAGAGGACGAAGAGAATATCAAAATGACAGAATAACCAAAATCAAAAATCGTTTTTACCCTATTTTTGTTACACTTAATAACGGATAGTCCGGGCTTCAAGTGGTCAGCTGCATAGTTGCATCTATTTGTCTTACCACTAAACGCGATTCAAAACAATTATGATACTCTACAGGAATTGTATTAAACATTTTAATATTGTAAGAGAACGAGATCCTCTCGGGATAAAGTGGGTCGTACGCAAAACACGGAACAGACTTCTTACTAATTTTACTAAGTTATGCGTCACTTTAACAAACAGATTCAAAAGAATGATCGAATGCGTGATAAACGAAAATAAAACTTCGCGTCCGTTACGCAGTGCCGTCGGAACTGCAACTCCCGTAGGTCGGAATTCGGACTCGTCGTGATGTGCCGTGGTCCGAGCGGGATCAAAGGATTTTTTATGCGTCGGGCCGTCTCAAGGCGTTGCGGTTAATATATAATGGCATTGGTGCAGTGGTAGTTCGTTACACTCTTACCCCTGGTTTCGAACTCGGCTCGAGGAGGAACCAGATATTTTCTTGTTCTTCTTTGGTGGACGTCCTCGTCTTTTCAAGGTAACGACTGGTTGCTTGTCCTCAACGGAGTTTACATGAGTTAACGAGGAGACATGATACACTCCTAGGGTCTTCCCCAAGTCATCTGGACGGGGAACTTCATAACTGGTGGGTGATACAATTCTGATTATTTAGTAGGGGCCATCTCGTTTCGGGTAAAATTTTACTGTCACTCCTTTGGCTGCGTTGCTCAATGTATTATGCTTAACCCAAACTCTCTCCTTTAATTGCGATTGCCATCGTGTGATGCTGTTCTGCCGTTCTAAGTTCCTCGGCACTTAGTGTGGTTGACCTCTTTCGTTAGTAAAGGTTCCGTTTTTCCTCAGCTAGAATTCTGAGTGGCAAAGTTCCGGAAATGACACACACTGTTTTTTCCGTCGTGCGAGACTAGCTCGTACTACTGATGCTTTGGCACTGACGTGTTCCACCTGTTGTTTGAAATTGAGTCGAGTCGATGTAGTGCGGAAGGCGCTGGCTACTCTTACAGCACTTAGACGATATACTGGTTGAGCCTTTCTCCATAACTCCATAGCCCTCTCCAACGCATCGGCCCAAATGGATATTCCATAAGTAAGCACCAATGTGACAACTGATGATAGTAGTAGTCTTCCGCTCGTGCGAGACTAGCTCTTAGTACTGATGCTTTGACACTGACGTGTTCCACCTGTTGTTTGAAATTGAGTCGATGTTATTTCATGTGTACCGACTTTCAGCTTGATGGTCTCTACTGCTTTTCTGCTGGTATTTAAGCACTGTCTCAGTCTTGTGCTTCGCCAGTTGAAGATTGATTTCGTTAATCCATTGATTGACTTTGTCAAAGGTTATGTCGAACATATGTTTTATCTCGTCAAGATGTTTTGCGACGATCACTACGGCTACATAATGTGCATACGCTACTACTTTAACATTTCTTGGCAGTTTCAGTCTTACCAGCCCATCGTACATGATATTCCACAGAAGTGGACCAAGAACAGAACCCTGTGGAACACCCCCGGTAATGTACTCTTTTGGACCATTCTTCGTGTCGTATTTGAGAACTCTATCGGTGAAGTAGCTGTCCACTATCCTACATAAATACTCTGGAACCCTTTTCTCTCGAAGAGCTTGCATGATGCAGTTCCAATTTGCGGAATTGAAGGTGTTTTTGATGTCTAATGCCGCCACCAGGCAATACTTCTTTGTGCCACCCTTCCATCTGGTTCCTGTGATTGCTTCCTTAGCCATACCAACAACCAGGTTGATCGCGTCCAGGGTTGATCGTCCTTTCCGAAATCCATACTCGTTGTCTGCTAGGAGTTGGTCAACTACTGCTTCTATTCGTTGGTGAATTATACGCTCTAAAATCTTACCTACCGTATCTAACATGCAGAGTGGACGGTAAAATGACGGTTCATCTGGAGGCTTTTTTCCTTTCGGAAGCAGTACTAGTCGTTGCTGTTTCCACTTCTTTGGGAAAGTCCCTTCTTTCAGGCAGGTATTGTACGCGTCTAAGAATAATGTCGGTGCTGCCTTTAAAATGGTTTTCAGTGCAATCCTGGCGTTTTATTATTTCCTACACGGTTACAGGCCTCCATCAGTTCCTCTTCCGTGACAGATGGTATGTCGTCCAGTTCACCTGGAGCCAATTGGTAATCGATATTTTGTTGCTGTGGAAACAACGCAGTGACGATTTTTTGAAGGAGGTGAGGACACGTAGGTGATGGCATTTGTTGCCTTTTCAGATGGGTCATAACCACCTTATAAGGTCTACCCCACACGTCTTTGTCTACCTCGTATATAAGTTCTTTCCAGCATCTTCTTTTGCTCTCTTTGATGGATTTATTCAGTTCATGACGCGCTTTTTTGTACTCTGCAATTCACTCCGCTGAGATTCTTCTTTTTCTATGACACTTCTTACGAAGGCTGTTGATGTGGTCGTTCCACCAATGCACCGAAGATCTTGAATTTATGTCACATTTACGAGGCATATTGGCATCACAAGCATGTGTCACTCTCCTCATCAGGTTCTTCGTCTGTTCTTCCGCACATCCAGTGTTGATCGCATCACTATCGAAGGCTATTAGCAATGCTTCTGGGTCAAAAGATTTTACGTTCCAACCAATGGTGTTAGATTTCTTGATTTGTCTCCTGAGGTTTTGGTCGCTTGATATTTCTCTGAATATTGCATGATGGTCGCTGGCAGTGTAGATGTTTAACACTTTCCATTTGTTGTTACCTTTAGCAAGGCTACTACTGACAAACGTGAGATCTACAGTCGAGCTTGCGTTGCCTTTGGTGTAGGTCGGCGTGTCACCACTATTGAGTAGAACTACATCTAGGGTAGTAAAGGCCTCTAGTAGTGCTTTACCTCGAGCGTTAGTCTGCTTGCTACCCCAGTCGACTGCCCATGAGTTAAAGCCTCCAGCTATCGCTACTGGGTGGTACTTCTTCGCATCTTCGGTTAATCGATCCAAAAAATCAGTGAAGTCAACAATGGAGAGGTTAGGTGGTGCATAGCAGCTATAGAAGCGGACGCCTTCTACTGATGCTGCTATAAAGCCTGCATTGTTGTTGTCGAGTGCGTTCTGGAGAGGGAGCTTACCACATGACCAAACGACAGCTTTAGATGTGCTGTCAGATTCCCACGGTTGATTACTCAGATGTTTGTACGGCTCAGTTATTAGTGCTATGTCTAGCTCTAATTCTCGTACGGATTGCATGACCTGCGCCGCTTCACAATGGTTGAGATTGAGCTGCAGTATCTTCATGTTTGTTTCTTTGTCAATTTCTGGAGCGCCTCCTGAAATACCGGGCATCTGT